GAACGAGAACACGCCACTCCAACAGGCGGCGACATCAGGAACCGCCACTCAAAGCGGCGACGCGAACGAACGAACGAACGAACTGACAAATAAGAATGTCCCCCTACGTTCCAGGCCTCTCCGCCTTGGCGAGGAAGAAGGGGCCGCGGAGCCCTGGATAGATGTAGTTGGAGCGGAACTGCAGGGTGACCTCACCATCCCGGCACATGCAGTCCTGTTCAACACCATGTCCCCGAGCGAAGGACTACCAGAGTCAAAGCCGGTAAGTGCGAGAGCACAATCTCTTCGATCGAGGGCAGCTGGTCCTCGGAGCCAACTGCAACTCACCCTCTGGGATATTCGCTTTCAATGCTGCGCAAACATTGTGTAGCTGCAGCAGTGGCTCCAACTGCAGTCTCTGGAAGAAGGGCGACTCTGCTTCCAGCCGCTGTCGAATAGCCTCGCTGTGACTTGCCGCAGCGCATCCCATATCCGATCCAAGCGCTTGGCCACGGACCTTGTAGGTTCCCAGCTCCTCCGGGAATGGCCATCGGCTTTCCAGGTTTCTCAGCCTCTCCGCAGAGCTCAACAAAGGCCTAGGGCCGAGCTAAGATGGCTGAGGCCATAGCAAGTAGAGCTGCGCACGCTCGATCCTCTGGGAGCTTCTCTCTTCAGCACCGGCTGTTAGGCCTTTCGGAACCTTGCACATGGACAAGGTGGAAAGCGCCGTGAAGACCATCTCCTCTCGCATGCACACCTTTGATCGAAAAATGAAAATGCACGGAGCTGCTTGATCTGCACAGCGTGTGCTGAACCGTGCTTTTGCTCTTCGGGGAGTGGCCATGAAATAGGGCCTGAGATCCCGGCTTCGGTACTCTGCAGCCAGCATAGAAACCTCGCGCTTCGTGAGCATCCACTCCCGCGTGGTTTCCCTACAACGGAGGAGTAAGCTGGCACCTCAAAGGATGCCATTGGAATAGAAAGGCCGTAGGCCTGGCAAACCAAAACCTGTCTGCACCAGACGGAACGAGCTGAAGGTTTCCACTGCCGTTTCAAGGTTCGGAAGCACATGTGACAGCAGTCTCGCGAACAGACTTTCCCTTGATCGAGCTCTTGTGGCCGTTTTGCACCGAGCCTCGCAAAGTGTGCGCCGAGCAAACGAGCGGAAATCCTGCCAAGAAGCATCCTGCCAGGCTGCTCTCTCGGCCTCTGACAATAAGCTTGCTTACTCGCAAGCTCCCCACACACATTGGGGCATTGAGACATTTCATGCATCCCCATGGCGTCCGCAAATGGCTCCTCTTCTTCGCTCGTCTCCTGGCTCTCCTGGCAAAGCCAAATGTGTTCAGCGGGTGCCATGCGTCCATTGCATCACTGCAAGCACGTAGGGGTCAAGATGCGCCAGAGAGGCTTCCAGCTCATCTTCCCGGGGCACTTGCTAGACCTCAATAAGCGTCCAGTGGGCACAGAGTTGAACGCTGCGCGCGGCCGCTCGACTGCTCGCTTCCTCGGAGGCCTTGGCCCCGGGCCTGGCTCGGATCCAGGCCGTTCAGCTTGTTGCTGTAGCGCTCCGCAGCTCGCAAGCCTCGAAAAATCTCGGGGGGAGAGAGGGGGAGGGGGTGGGGCAAAAACTGCTCTCAGCGCGTTTTCTGGTGCCTCAGCTTCAGCGTTTCGACGGGCATGACCAATGCGGATTGAAGGGCTTCCAAGCCGGGTCTTCTGACCCTGCCAGTGAGATGAATACTTACTAGACTCTAGACAGTTGAAAGGCTCGCCATGGCACGGAACAAGGGTTCCTTTGTCTGAACTAGATTCGCTAGGTAGATCTGAAGTCATGGGCTGCCCAGAAAGTGGTTTGGCCCGACTGTACCTCACCTCTTCTTTAAGAAGCGCCATGCATACACCCCCCAATGTGCCACAATCTCCCCTGACAGGCGCCGATCCTGTGCAGTACCGTGAAGCATCGCCGTCAAATTTGGGCAAGCGAATGAAGACGCCCCAATGTATTCGCTTTAGCGATAAATGACTAATGGCTTGTGGCTCTGTTGGGCTCGTGGCGAAAGTTTCAGTCTCACTCTTCGAGAGATAAGGGAAAGGGTGTCAAGCTCAAACTCAGAGCTTCATGGGTGACACTTTCGGCGTAGGTGTTTTGGAATGTTAAGGTGGATGAGGATTCTGTTTTGTGGCACGCTATCAAAATTTCCATTATGTATGGTCCTTTTCTGCGGCGAGTTGTCAAAGAATTCCATGCCATCGTCAGACAATCTCGCACGAAAAGCCACCGCCACCGGGGCTTGCGCTAAATGATCCTGCTGCTTCCTACACAGATCACGTCGCAAAACCAAAAACGACTCACAAGCCAAGTTAAGGCCCCACAAGCTTGGCAACGCTTGGCAACCAACATCTTCCTGCCTTCCGTCCTCCCTTCCTTGCTTCCTTCCTGCCCCGCTCCATCTCAGACAGGCTGGCAGCTGGCACTGGCCAGGCGAAAAGAAAGCACCGAGGCTTCGGCGCCTCCTCCACTTCGGACGGGGAGATCTGCATAAGCTCAGCAGGGCCAGAGTTCTCCCGACTTCTGGAGACTCACCGAGTCAGGGCGAACTTTCGACCATGCTGCAATGTCTGCACCCGGCCTTCTCACCCGCCCGGTTCATGAGTTCCTTGAAGCGGCCTTGCTGCGACCGCTCAGTACTTCATGCCACACAATGCCACACATGTGGGCGGAAATTTCGAGATGATGGCGCTAAGCTAACCAGATGGCCCTGGAAGGCACAAGCGATGTAAGGAGGAGGCCGATCAAGTATCCGTCCTCGGCCATCCAGCCCTTGGCGCGGCTGGCAAATCATCTACACACACCGTAGCCATCGGCACAGGCTTCTGCATCTGCATGGCGTGAAGCTCAAAGCGAGCATCTGTGTGTGCGCACACACAGATGGTCTGGAAACCGTCGAGGCTTGAAGATTCGAGAACCGCTAGAGCGCCTGCATAGTCGGTGGCCATCTCGCGTGCCTTCGGGTCGTAACCTGCAGGAAGGGAAAAAAAAACAACTAAAAAACACAAGTAACAAAAGCATGCTTCTCACCGCGACTGCCACAGGCTCCGAGGCTTGGACACGACTGTGCCGGCATCACTGGGCCGATATCTTCGAGGCTCAGCCGAGACCATGCTTTTCTTCAGCACCCGATCCGAGGGTGGAGCATGCGCCTGGACGGCACCGCCCATATCTGAAGCCTCCACGGTGAAGCGCGGCCCTGCCGAAGCGGATGTCGGAGCCTCCTCGGAAGTCCCTGTGCTTCTTCACTCTTGAACATGCCGGGCGTGTTTCTGATCTTCGCATGTGCCGCTAAGTTCTGCTCTAGTTGCTGCTGGCTGCCGAGCGAAGCAAAAGCTGCAACAACATGGCTGACTGTTTGAAGCCCAAGAGCGACAAACTCAACTGGGACGGCAGGGTCACCAATGCAGAACGCCCGATTTTTGTCGCGACCCCTTCGATTTCCATGCTGCTATCTACGCATCAAGGGATCCTATTCGAAGCTCTGGCTTAGAGGCCCACAGCAGGGATCGCCTGGAGAGAAGCAGATTTGACTTCAGGGTGCCTCGTTTCTACATGTTCTGAGCTGCGGGCGACGAGTCCGAAGACAACAGTGGTCAAGGAGCATGCCAAAAGTATCGCACCAAAGCGATCGGCAAATTCCTGACGACTTCTCTCAGGAGTAAGCAGTGTGTCCGGCGACCTAAACCACCGGTCCTCCACTCGGACATATTGCTTGCCTTGCGAGCCGTTTCGGGAAAAGACAGAGGACTGGAGCTGAACAGCGGTTAAAGGGAACAGAAAGAGCTCCGTATCCCGGCGGGGATGGTAAAGCCGAGGCACCCCCGGACTTGAAGATTCGATTCCTCTTCCACTGCTTGAGGCACGCATGGAAGAGCAGCACCAGAGAGGCCGAGCCAACCTCAAGGCATGGACAGTTTGATGTTTTCTGGGGCCCTTTGTCAGCGGGTTCAGGGTACAAGGGGGGAAAGCTGTAGCTGACAAGTGGCAACAAGGCCGCAGACATCTGTCGCAGCAGACCTGGAGGAGGCCATCATGACCTGGGACATCGCAAGCGGCAGTTTCACTCAACTTCAGAAACGGTGAAACCTACACTGTTAGTCGACTGTAGCCAACCGAGTTGCAGCAGCGGTTGCCGCGAAGACTGTCGACAGCTTGGCCTTATGTTGCTCATCCGCACGACGGCTTGCGCATTGCAAGGCTCAGCACCTCAGCACCGTCCAACCGCCTGCAGCAAAGTGAAGATTCCAAGCGGCCCAGTGGATAAAGGTTCGCTCAGTGGAAAACCACACCTGCAGCGCACTCCTCTGTGGGATAATGTCGAAGACCCTCCGAAGCAGAAAGGTACAGATCGGCTCCGGCAGCGCACCTTCGGCTCCACCTTGACTGTCGGCATGGATGGACTGCCTGAAACATCTGACAACGCATCCGGAAGTTACCTGACCTGAAGCTGGTCTGGGCAACCTGGCAGTAACGTTATCAATCAATCCAATCGGCCGTCAAGACATGCTTGGGCTACCGTCTGTAGCTGAAACATCGGAGCCATATGTCAGTGACATGCCAATGACCCGAATAAACACGAGACTAAGGCACAGTCCAGCGATCAAGGCAACGTCAGTGAAACAAGACACCTTACGGAGACCGAGGAGTGCGTCGTTTTACTCCCACTCAGTCGGAGTTCTGAGTCGCGACGGACAGCAGTTCGTGGCTGAGCTTCACGAAGTGCCATCATTCATCGTCATTTTGTAAGCAGTGGTTTGCACCATGCAATTCAGGTCATCTGAATCGGTGAGACTACAAAATCTATGATGGCACCAGATGGTGACTGCAGCACTAGTACGATGATGACGAGGATGATGCTGTTGATGTTGACGACCATGATCTATGGACGCCAACTGCAGGTGACGCGGTGCAGCTTGGCTGCCAGCGTCGGGAAGATACGTATGAACGACTGAAACGAGAGCCAAGGTCAGACTTCCACGAGATCTTCTTCGTCGTCGGTCTGGCCTTGCACACTCACAACGCCAGAAGAGGGGACACCGGATTCGCCGCACTCGCCACTCTCCGGACTCTTCATTCTCGCTGCCTTGAAGGGACTCCGGCCGAAGAGCGCCCGGACGACTGGGGCTCCAATGCGTGGAATGGCAGCAACCCGGGCGGGGCCTGCAGCGGATAGGCCAACGACCACGGAGTTCACAAAAAGGACATAGAAGGTCTCGTAGCTCGGACCACTAAAAAGGCCACTGTATGTTAAAACGACGGGAAGCAACAGAAGTACCTGAGTCCTTTCTGCAAAAGCCTTGCGATGATCAGGCATAAAGACAAAAAGCAGGTAGAAGGTCACCGCCTCCAGCGCAGCTCCCACAAACACCACCCAGCGCAGCCAATGTGCCATTTCTTTGTCATCATGTTGCAAGATCCGGCCAATCCATATTTGGTTTGTGTTCGTCACCCACCACATCAGACTCACAGCCAGGATGCTACGGCTCCAAGTTGAAATGTCCCCAAGTGGCCCGGTGTGCTTGGTGATCTCTTGAAGATCCTTCGAGAAGAGGTTCATGTCCACCAGGACTTGCACAGCATGGTTCACCATGTCTTGTTGTCCCTGGTCTTCGATCTCCTGACAAGCACACAAACCGCATCTCATCATGCGGTTCTCTCGTGCAGTCGTCCTGCCTACAAGATTCGCTGAAGCTAACTTTTGATACCTTTGGGTGATCACAGTCATCAACATCAACATCGTCATCATCAGTCATCATCTTCATCATCATCATGATCATCATCATCATCATGATCATCATCATCATCATCAGCTGTGGAATCGTGGCCTCACCCTGACTGCGCAGCCCTCCGATAGTGTCCTTGTGGATGCGCTTCGCATCCGACACGTTGGAGCTGTTGGCCGCCTGGATGCCTTTGAAGCCGGCCTTCAGCTGTGCCGTCTGCTTGTTTCCGCTGATCGCCAAGAGACGATCCATCTCTAAGCCGGCCATGAGGCACACTGCCACGATCATAAAGACTATGTTGTTCGACCTCTTGAAGCCTTTCCGATAGCACAGTGTGATTCGGTAGAGGGCGCACAAGGCCCCACAAACATAGATTGCCGCTTGGAGTATCTTTCGGTCATGTCTGTTCGTCTTGTACAGGAAGACTAGGACGAAGAGGCATACAAGTCCTGCTGCTTGGGAAAGCAGTTCGACAACTCGTGTTTGATCTTCCGAATCTGGAGGCAACTGGCCGACAAGCAAGAAGCCAATCCCGTGAAAAGCACATCCGGCAAAGAGGTTGCGCAGCACTCGAGGCCAGAAGTGTGGAACCGGTGCCATCGAGGTGCGAATAGGCTTCTCCAATCGGTATGCCAAAAAAGCTTCGTAGACGCACCAGATTCCTTGGCTATACACAATGTAGACTTTAAGGCTTTTAAGCGGCATGCCCGTCACTTTTGGCACAACGGAGCGTGGGAGCGTGGACTGTGTTTGTCAGCTTCTTTGTGGTTTATGTTCATATCTTTGTTGTCTTCATGCTGCACCTGGTGTTCATGACGTTCGTCCTCGCTTTCATGGAACTCTTTTTGGCGCATGTGTTGGTGATTTTGTGTCTGCCTTCTTGGTTTACAGGGATAGAAAATCTTGTCGAGCCTAAGTAACCTCAAAAGGAACCCTCGTGCTTCCCCAGCAGAACCCGACTGGGAGATTTCTTCAAGCTGGGGCCATGTCTGCAAGAGTCCCTAAATTAAGGAACTCGTTCTTCAGGGTCTGTGTCTGAACAAGGGCTCCGTACTTTCCGAAACTAGCGAATCGGCTTTCGATGGGGTGTCTGATTCATGTTTTGATCACTGACCTGTTTAGAGGTTATAGCGCTTCGACGCGAGCACCAAAACCCTGCGTGCCACACGCTAGGCGATCTGGGCGACCCCGGAAACTGACTCTGCCTCTCCCTTCCAGGAGTTCGAGCTCACAGGTAGGGTCATACAGATTACTGTAGAGCTCTTGGTTAGAGACGGCAGTGGAGGGCTCAGGGATTGGAGTGTAAGCCTGCGGCGCTAACGAGGTTTACAAACAAGACTGACAAAGACTTGTTTCTGCACGCGAACACCGGACACTTAAATACCAGACGAGTATTCAAGAAGCCATAAACCTCATCCTGATGGGATCTCATTGAAGTGGTGCTTAAGTATATAACAACAACAGTTGCTTGGAATCGGTACATGCTGTCAAAAGGCACCCAACTGAGATGCTAGTTTGCTTGATGTTGACACCTGGAACCGCATGTCCTGTTTAGCTGGGCCTGATTGAGGGTGTTGGCGTTGCGTAAGAAGCTTTATTTGTCAACATGATATCGGATCTCTCGTAATGGTATCATAAAAACTGATTTACGTTCACATGAAACCCTATACGTATTGCGGTAGCGACATACGTACGCATCATGATGACACTTATTTACACGGTCTGGCCGACAACCGCAGAAGACTTGAGGGTATGTGAATGTGATGATAACTAAGGGTGTAACTAACATCAACGGTAAGGTGCAAAAGTGCACGGATTGTAAGCAGTACTTAATATGAATATTCGTGTTTGGATGGTATGGGTTTCATTTAAGTAAGGGATCACAAGCAATACTTCGTTTGTGTTTGGACTGCTTGGTGTGGTAGTACAGGGGTTAGAGGCAGTACTTTGCACCGCCGTCCGTAATGGGATTGACGGCATCACTCAGTATTATTATGGGTGTTTGGATAGTGTGGGCTATGTAGGATTTATGGGTTTGGTGCAGCAGCAGGAAGACTCTAGGCAATACGTAGCATGATTGATTGTGTTTGGATAGCATGAGCGGTAGTAGCAAAAAGGCAATACTTAGCATGGTTGTTCGTGTTTGGATGGATGAAAGACGTGCTGAGCAATACTTCGCCAGATTATTCTTGTTTGGATCTTGTGGATTGCATAGGACTGAATGGGTTATAGGCAATGTATGAAGATCTGCCTTTGGACGAAAGGTTTGTAGGACCATACTTAGCATTATGCCTTCTGTTCCCTGCATGGTAAAAGAACTCTGGGCAATTCCTTCGGGGCCTGACTACACCGCTCCAAACTTGGTGGTCTACAGCAAGTCTGTGAGTCTGTAGATGGGCGTAAGGGAAGGTAGGGCTGTGAGTGGTAGGTCTGGTAGGTGGGACCTGAGGACTTTACAAGCCACCGCATAGAAGCGATACTTAGCATGATTATTCGTGTTTGGCTACTGTGGGCTTCCTTACGTGCCTTGGTTTCTTTCTTTCTTCATTTATTTTGTTCATTAAAGGTGTATTTATTTATGTCTGTCTGTTATGTTCTTCTTTGATTTTCTCGTTCGTCATGTACTTATTTCTTTCGTAATTGCGCTGTTCTTTCTGCCTTTCTTTCGCTATTTGTGTCTGTATTTCTTTAGGGCTTTCTTTCTTCCTTTCTTTCTTAATTCCTGTCTTCCTTTATTTATCTCCTTCTCTGCCTCCTTGTCTGTGTCTTTCTTGATTTTTCCTTGCGCCTTCGTCTTCTTTTCCCTCCCTCCTCCACCCCCAACCAAACCAAAGCACGCAAGATCAAAAAACTTAACGAAGAAACAAAACATACAACCTACCCCAACCAACTACTCAAAGCACTGACATGCCGGTAAGGCTAGATAAGGCAAGTAAGATTCTGGTGTAGATGCTCAGCCTCTGGTTTGGTACGACCAACATCTGCTTCGACGACTCGAGGGCTTTGGCAAAGGGAGACTCGGATGGAGACGTGATCAGGCCCCCAATGTCCAAGTTTTGTGGGTTGGACAGAAAGCAGACGTATGCAGCTGTCGCACCACTTGGCCAGGAGTTGGTGACTTTGTCCACAAACTCGAATATTCCTTCCGACCATGCATGTGTGATGAAGAGATCGCAATCCATGCCAGCCGGATGCTTCATGAGCGCCCAACTCGCATTGCCGGCTTTCTTCGTCACAGTCTTGATGTACTGCTCCGTGACAGTGTACATCGACGGCCCTGTGACAACATCCCAGGCATCAAACGGATCTTGGTCAGTGGGTTTGATGCGACCGTCAGCAATAGCCTGTAGAACGAGTCGACGAAACTCATGTAGGTCAGCAAGTGTCCTCTCACGCTGGGAATATAATGCGAAACATGGGCATGGTCATCTCTCACTAATTCCGCAAACTCTGCGCCAGCGAACAGGCTTATTTAGTTAAGCCAAGGCTCACACTCCACCTGTGCATCTCCACTGTGCTGTGCAGATGTGCACCATCAAGTTGGACTGGATTCTCCTCCATTGCCTTCTCTTGCTGCGAGGGCATGCCGTAAGGTGAATTGGAACGATTGATAAGCCAGCTGCACACAAGAATACCGACGATGCCCATCGCCAAAAGAAGAGGACCCGCTACCTGAACGTACATATGATCCCCAGTTGGCACCGGGCCGGCGATTGGCTCCGAGCAGCACCGGAAATGATAGTGCGAAGACCAGAAAAGCATCTTGGTGATGCGGGGCTGAAAGCCCTTCACACAGACACAGGGCTCAAGAATCGTGCCAGCATAGCAAGGCCCCTCCCACCGGCTGGTGTTGCCTTAGGCAGTGTTGAAGCATGTTCGGAGTCAGACACAGTCCAAAGACCTCCAACAGCTCACTGGGCTCCGGACACGTCTCGATACCTGTAACTCATTGCAACTCCGCTCATACAAACCGATAGACTGTCTCCGAGCTTGCCTCCAAGCTCGGCCCCGTTGGGGCAAACGTCAGCATCCGAGGAGACCACCACGAAGATGTCCGCATACAAGAAAACGAGCCAAACCAGACAAATGCCTTCGTTTTGACAAATGCTGAAGCGGAAAAGCGATCTCCATAGAGTCCCCATCCCACATACGCGAAGCCTCCCAAAGTTGCCAGCACAAGCTTGCAGACGCCCCCGCGCCATCCGTGCTGCCACATGGCGGAAATCCTGCTGGGAGTTAACCTGCGTTTGTGTGCTATGTGCACGGTCGCATAGGCACAATCATGTTGATCCCTAGTCCTTAAATCACGTCGCAGCCCGCAGCAACACACACGCGATCATGCAATCTGGGCACGATGCACCAGTCAAGACTGACAGCAACGTGCCTTATCTAGTTGGAACCTCACCCTTGGACCAGAATGACAAAGACCAGTGTTCCATCCCGCCAAATTGGAACCTTTGCAACGTGGGCATTGCATGTTTGCATGCTTACTGTTTGTAAGCTATACATAGCATGCGGTAGTGTGCAAATGGCACAAGCCTATATAAAAATCCGACAGCCCAGCTGGCGTTCGTCATGCAATGGCACCTAAGTCGTCAGCCTACGAATTGCATATGGCAAGATAGAAAAAAGACTAGCACTGTGGAGGCCCTTTGTCCGCGTCAACGTTTTCGAGCACTTTTCAACCC